TATTAGAAATTGGCCCAATTAAGTTCTCACTTCATGCTACTCAACCTTTTGGCAACTTCTTCCTTATAGTACAGGTTTTCAATGGAAAATTTGATGGAGGTTCTCCGAACAAGAGCTGTTACGCGTTGTGCGATTGCCTCAGGCAGGGTCAGTGCCTCCAATCGGCACTTTGATGAAGAAATGCCCAGGATTCAACCAGGTCAGAATTCAAGACCATTTCTGGCTAGGGATATGCACGGGCGCCGCATTTATCACCTTAAATACAACAGGAGGATGGTGGGGCCCCGTCCGAAGCAAACAATTACTGGCCTAAGACGCTTCTTTCAAGAGCATGGTTTGCAACCTGGGGATCTAATTACTTTGTACAAGGAGGAGGGCAATGAGGTGATCTTGATGGGGACACTCATCTCTCCACTCTATGTGATCCACTTTGAGAGAGTTAACGAAGTTGCAGACCGGTGATGATCATGCTCTTTGAGAAAGCTGATTCAGCCTGTTAAAAGATCTAGGTGTTGTAGTTGTTTTGTTTTTGTTTGTTTGTTTGTTTTTTTCTTTTGAACTCAAGGATACAGAGATATAGCCTATAAAACAGATCCTGTTCAAGTAAGGTAGTATTTGTTTTGTTTTTTTCATGTCTTGCTGTCAGTGGTTTTCCAACAATTGTCACGCTCTGGTCCCTGTACGAAGTACAGATCCGAGCATTTTTTTTTTAAAATATGGAAATCCTAAATCTATCGCCCTGTTTGTGCCTGTAAGTTGTAAGTAATGATACATGTTGATTTATGAGTACTCATTTTTAGAATATATAAATATTTTATGGGTCTCGGTCACGTGTGACCTGTCTACTCATTTCTACTCTTCTTTCGTTCCCTTTTCCCTCTCATCTTCTTGATAGATTTTTGTTGGGGTGCTAATCGGTTGTGGGGAGGAGGGAGTTGACAGATCTGGGACGAGTCAAGCGACCACCAGCCAGGAAAGAAAGAGTGGGTGGGGAGGGGAACAATCGGATTCTTATGGGGATTTGCTCATGGATCGAATAGGAGAGGGACGAAGAGGAACAGACGACAGATGGAACGGCAGAAAGGAAGATCTGGTGTCCAATCGAGCGGTGGTGATGAGACCGTCCGGTCGTCTGCAAACGAAAGAATCGAGGGAGGTGGGAGGTGTGATTGAGCAGCGGGGGTGTCGTTTGTCCGCCCCCAACCCGCTAATATCAAGGCTTCAGCCTTGTGCTGCGTTGTTTCCACTGCCGTTGCTTTTTAGCTCCGACTATATCTCCTTCTTTCAGATCTCGTTTGTTTAATTTTTCATTAGATTCATGTCTTTATGTCTCCTGTTTGCAAATCATTTTGGTGGATTAACTTTTAACCAGTTTTATTCGGATCTGACCTTTAATTTAGTGTACTTAATGTTACAGTCGTAAAAGTGAGGAGTTAAGGAAGACAAAGGGTTAACGGGAGAGGAATGAAGTCTCCCTTGATTTTGAGTCAGGTGCCTACCTATTTAAAAGCAGATACCTTCTTCTTGGCATTTACAGAAGTTAAAGTTAAGCAAAATACAAAACTTCCCGGCACGATTCTGTTTCTTTTTCTGAATTTAGCCTTTGAATTTCTTTGGTTTTTTCTTTTCAGATTCTTTGGTTGGTTCTAATGTTATTTTGCAAACCTGATCTTTTGCTTGATGTTACAATCCAATTTAGAATAAAGGAGAAAGAAGAAAAAGAAACTAGAATCAAGAAGAAGAAGGAGAAAGAAGGAGAATTCAGATAGAGAGACAGAGTCGAGAGAGAAGTAGGAAGGAAACCATATTCAGTTTATTCATCAGATGCCCTTGAATCTTGGTTCATTTTCTTTTTACAGCCTAACAGACTAGCAGAATCCATAGAATACCCTTGTTTACAATTTGGGATCTAACACTTGACTGTATATTTTGATGGTGCATTATTCTTCTCTATGTTGTTCATTTTGGCAATCGTGTTTACTTGAACAAAGGAATGGGTAGCTATATTTGGGTTCTATTTTAGTGCTAAAAGGTGAGTTTTTCTCGAAAGACATTTTGTTTTTATATTTAATGGAAAAAAGGTACATGTTAGTTCTTATAATTTAAAATTTTTTTAAAAAAATTTTATATGAATCAAAAATTTTATTATTACAAGGAGTACAAAAGGTACTTTATCTATAATTTCAAAAATACATTACATTACATGATAGTTTCAATTAAGGCACTTCAAACTTAAAATTTTAAAAATTATTTTATTAAATATTAATATATTAAAATATATAATGATTTTTAAATTTAAATATTAATATTTAATAAGATAAAATTTTAATTTTTAGATATAAATTAAAATTGTAATAATTTTTTAAAATTAAAATTGATACATGTTAATTTTTTGTTTTATTTTTTTATTTATTTTTTTTAAATCTCGGTCAAGATTGAGCCCTTCGTGTTGAAATGTCTTCTTATGGATCAATTGAGAATCTGGAAAGGGTTCTTTTCGTTGCTCTGTTGATAATTGTTGAGTGAGATTAGATTTCCACTTTTTTTTTTCTCTGTACTAGACAACATACGGATTGATGCTACCGTCTTCCTATGGTGACAGAATTCCTTGAAATGGAGTTTGAGGAGAAGATTTAATACTTCGATGCTTCTAAAGCTCTGATTTAAAGTTAATAGTCTTGAAGTTGTGTCCTGATGTTTGATGGTGATTCAAATTTAATCAAATTTGGTTGCTTGTATTGTTGTGGAATTGGTTGCTGAACCTGAATTAATAATATCAGTGGTCTGTTTTAAGTGCTTGAAGTTTGTGGATATAGATTTGTCAAGTTCTGCCAACTCTAGCTCTACTTTTGTTTTGAGCCTTTAATTCTATTTAAATATTTATTTCTAATTTTATTTACTCAATTGTGGGAGCATAGGTGGGGTTACCACTTTTGTTTAAGTTATTTTAAAGGTTTGATTAGGAGATGAGTAGTTAGAAGGGAAGTGTGGGGTTATTCCACCCGTCGCTTTCTTCTTCTTACAATTCCGAGCCCGTTCCATTCATTCCCCGGGGACTCTGCCAAACTTAGCGTTGAGTCTGTCAGCCTTGGCGCACTCCCAAGTGGACTCAGCATGTCCTTCTCTCCATTTCCAGTTACCAAACAGCAAAAAGATCTTAGTTTTATGTACAATCAGAGACAGAATCTATACCATTACTAACCCATCTGGTTTCTTCTTCCATTTCAATTTTCTTTCTTTTTCCATGTGTTCCTGTTTCTGAGGCCCCACGCCACCACCCCCAACGACAGTTCCTCAATCTTCCCTCGTTAAATAAAGGTTAAATGTGAATTTTAGTTTATTAATTTTAAAGTTTTACATAATTTTTATTTTTTTATACATTTTTTAATTTTTTAATTATA